TAATGTTTTAAGTGCAATTTCTGGGAGACTTTCAAAACCATTTTGGCAAAGCACTTGAGTACTTAGGTAATACTGAAAAGGATTTCAAACCAATTCTAACCTTACCTACAAATCAGTTTAAAGGGAATTATCGGATAAGTCTGAGAAGAGTGTGACGGTCATTCTGAATAGTGGAGGAGATTGTAAATTGAAGGAAATTGTTGAAAATATTTTAAGAATATCATTTCTCTATGGACACAAAATTGAGCCAATTCTTGGGAATTATTACTCTCCAATCATTAGTTGTGGAATTGGAAAGTGATTTATAAGAGATTTCAAGAGGTAATGTTAAGAACTATTAGAATGTTACTGGAACAGTTTAGATATTTTCAAAATTATTTTAGGGGAATATGGAAAAGAAATATGATGGAATTCTAGAAAGATTCAAATTGAACTAAAAAAAGGCGATGATATCCTATGAAGAGTTCCAAGTAAATTCAGATTAACAAAAAAAAATTCATGATCTGGGATGCAGGAAAAACATAAATTCCGGAATTTAGAATCATTGCAAGATCCTAAGACTTCAAAAATTAAGCTATCAGAAATTATTCTTTGGCATAAAGGTCATGCGAATAGTGGAGTTACCCGTAGTTTAGGTAAACTGTGTGTGAGTTTCACGATGTAAGGCTTTGATTCCCACTTCAGCCCGGTGAATTTTGCTTCAAAATAAAATTTCCTACTGTGCTGGGTGTTGTATGATGTCAAGAATTAAACTGTAAATCTGATCAACCATAGAGTAATATTAGAATTATTTAGAACTAATAAAATCGAATCGTAAATCGAATACCCAAGTTTGGGTTAACGATTCTTAGCGTGTTGAAAGTTTTCTTCCTGTCAGTTGTCAATATGGTATGTAAACAGGGATGGTAGATATAATAAGCTGGGAACGGGACATTTCGCCGAAGGTCATTTCACCGAAGGTCATATCGTCAAAGAGCAATCCATTTTCTACGGTTTTGAATTTTTCTCAAAGCTCAGTAAATTTTGAAATCAGACTCGAAAAAAGATTAAGAAGGTTCGATTTTTTCAACCTGGCAAGCTATTCAAATGTAATGCTACCTTCTTTTGAACATGAGCAGTTTTTTTTGAGTTGTACTGATTTCAGAAATTTTCAAATAATATATATTTTTGATCATTCAGCATTCCTATATGTAGCTTCCTTCTTCTGAATATGATCTTTCGAGTTGTACTGATTTCCGAGATTTATAAATAATCAATGTTTTGCATTTGTAGAAATGTTTCCTTCTTTTAAACATGACCAGAGTTGTACTGATTTCGCGATTTTCTCAATAATCAATATTTTTGACTTATAGGAATGATTCCTACTTTTGAACGTGACCAGTTCTTTTCTTTGATTCATGATTAAAATTCGGCGAAATGTTCTATTCGGTGAAATGACCCATTTGGTGAAACGTCCTTCGGTGAAATGACACAGCCCCTAATCTGCCTTTTCTTTTATTTGTTTAATAATACTAGTACTTTGAGCTAATAGTAAAATAATACAGTCTATAGCTGATATCACGGAATATAGGCTTTCTTGGTATCATATTATATAAAGTGATATCAAATACAGTCTGAACAAAGTAAAGACTGGAACGCGCGAAAATTGGTTGACAAAAAATCGTTTCTTTCAGTCAAAATTCATATCACAACAATCTTCTTATTTTTCTTTTGGTAGTTCAATTCATATATTTAAAGGAAAAAATGTTCGTTTATTCTTTTGGTTTGCCCAATCCGAACTGCCGTGCCTTCCGCTTAACTCCTTCCATTAAATTTTGCACTCATCGACCTTATTTGCTGCCGAACGCCAGTTAGATTTAAACTGCTGCTCGTTTTCCATGGATTTATTAGTTTTTTTTTTTTTTAGATTCCGTTTGACCAAGGCCCAATACCGTTCGATAGGGTGGAGCTCTGGGCTGTTGGGAGGGTTGTGGTCTTTGGGTACCACAACCACGTTGTTCGCATCGTACCACTCGATTGCCTTTTTCCCATAGTGGCAGCTAGCCAAGTCCGACCAGAACAGCACAGGTCTATTATGTTGCTTTAGGAATGGTATCAGCCGCTTTTCCAGGCACTCCTGGACGTAGATCTCTTAATTGATGGTTCCCGTAGTAATGAAAATGCCGCTTTTTAGACCACACGTGCATATGGCCTGCCAGACGAGATATTTTTTCGGGAACTTCGATAGTTTGATGGTTTTGAAAATTTCAGCCACCTTCCCTTTTCCTGATGTGGTATAAAACTCCTGTCCCGGAAACTGCTTGAAATCCACCTTCACATAAGTTTCGTCGTCAATGACGAAACAGTCGAACTTTGTGAGCAGATTCGTATTCAACTTTTGGGACCGCTGCTTTGCCAAGGTGTTTTGTTTGAAATCACGGTTCGCCACCTTCACCTTCTTAAACGTCGACAACCTGGCTAGTTTCTTGGCCCGCTGCACAGTAGTATGGGAGACATTGAGCTTGACAGCGACGTCCCGGATGGAGAGGTTGCAAGGTTGAATTCCGCTTATATTTCACCACCACCTTCTTCGTCGTCGCTGGCACGTCCAGATTACGATTGCTGCCGCTTCCAGGCTTCCTGGCGGTCGACAGACGCTCCCCGAACACTTTTAAAACGTTTGTCACGGTCAATTTGGCCACATCCAGCAATTTTGCCAACTTGGCGTGTGAGAACGTCGGATTCTCTTGCTGCGCGAGCAAAATTTTGACACGCTGCTCCTCTTGCTTGGACGTCATTTTGAAAACTTTAGAGCAAACGGTGAAAACTCATCATAGCAAAATGCAGCATTTCAGGGTTTTTTTTATGCCTTTTTAACAAAAATACACCAATTTGAAGTTGATCAATTTTTACGCGTTCCAAACTTTATAATGTCATGACGTCAGGGTGGCGTGTAAAATGCATGAGAAAGCTAATACCAACTGGTGGAAACTAACGATTTAAAATTGGCTCACTACTTGACTAGCCTATTGGTCCCAAGCAAATCGATTAAAGTACCCCATTCTAGTCAAAATTCTAGTACTACACTATGTTTGTTTTGATTCGCTATGAAAGTTTGAAAGATAAAATGAGGGGTTCGTGGATTTGACTATGTTTCGAGGGGTGCATCGATTAGCTTGGGTCCGAAGAGAGTACCAGAGCTGAGCCAAAAAGTTGAGCACGTTTCTTCGGGATCTTCTGGTCTTAGAGTTACCTCTATGCTAATACCATATCACAATACCATGGTTATCACAATAGGGGAGACCTATTCCTCCTTGACATTAAGCCGGGAATGTTTAATGGAACTTTTCCTGGATGCATATCAAATGGATTGCTCAAATAAATTTCATCAGAAGGGGGATCACTAGATTGCCCTTTTTTCTTTTGCGGCAGAAGAAAGTTTCGCCAAATCGACTTCCAAGCAAATTACTATAAGAATCCGAAGGATGGAAGAGGAATTTTCCCAATCAATATCCAAGCAGGATTAACTCGGGTAGGGTCCAAACAAGTTGTCCTGAGGAATGAGATACAATGCACCTGAGTCAACAATTTTACAATAAAAAAAAATCAGTTTACATGTACCGTGTGCGTGATAATGTTTGCACCATTTTATTTATTCAAAGGGGGGATGTTTCTCAGAGTCTTAAACTATTTTAATCATCGATCGAGTTTCCACTTGCTTCAATTACGGCCTCCACACGCTTCCGGAATGCACGGCAGGTTCTAATAATGTAGTCTGGATCCATTGCTTTCAGGCTTGCTATACTCGGGTGGCGTTTAGAACAGGCCTTGGCCTTCATGCCGCACCGTATTGAGTAATCCAGCGGATTAAGATCGGGGCTGGATGGCGACCACATATCCTTCGCCCAGAACGGAAGATGTTCCTGCAACCACTTCTGAGTGCGGTTCGAGGTGTGGCAAGGAGCCCCATCTTGTTGAAATACAACATTTGGCTTCGGACCGTACTGTTCTTTGATCCACGGAAGAACATACTTACTTAAAATCCCAATGTAGACCTCCGTGTTGACCTTGTCGCCTTCTGGAATGAACACCGGGTCCATTTTTTTGCCATCGGAAGCCACCAATCCAAACACCATAACGCTAGCAGGATGCTTGGCCAGATACACGTTTTTGTGCTCGTCGGCCACGTCTTTTACCGGAAGAGAACTAATATACCGGTCGGTTCTGGAATTTGATACGGGATCGACGGTAAACATGCTCTCGTCGGTGAAGAGGATTACCGGACTTTTTCGGAAGTTCAACATTTTCTTGCATCGTTCGACTCGTAGCTCCCGGACGCGGTTGGTAACCATGTGAGTTTTTTTCCGTGCCCTCTACTTCACCCCGCACTCTTCCTTTACGATATTCCGTGCCGTGAAGTCACTGATCCTGTGTTCCTTTGCCATTTTCCTTATTGAACGCACTGGATTCACCCGAATCTTCCTTTTGATAGCAGCGATAACCCTCGAAACCCGAGCTGACCTCGGACGACCTGTGGCCACCTTCGTGGATAGTTGTCCTTTCTATTCTCGGTCTAAAACCCCTTTTGACGGTCCACCGGGACACTTCCACGGGACACTTCCACGGGACACTCCCACGGGACACTTCCATGGTGCAACTGTCAAACTAAGTAAATCATTCTCTTTTATACACAGTCTACTACGGTATGAGCTATAGGTTACGTGCTGCAAAGAAAACCAAGGCATTGTATGCACAGGTGAAACGGGAATCTTATTTGTACGATGGTGCAAACACTATCACGCATACGGTAAACATTTGTTTGAACGATTTGGATACATCAAAAGTGATTTATTGATAGTGTGTAATCATATTAAAAAAAAAACCGTTAATTGTTTGGAAATTAGAGCCCAACTTGTTTCGATTCGTTGACCACGAACCTATAAATTTAGACACAAAACTAAATAATTTCCACCTATTGATGTGCTTCCTTTCTGTTCTCTTTCTCTTCCTTGCAATTTCAGACCATCGTTGACGTTGACCACACGATGAGTGGAATCCGTCGCGGGGCAGAATCTCGTAGCAAGTCCTTTTTGCTATAATTGTTAATCGTAATTGTGTAGAGTTACGAGCGTGTCTTTTTGTGTCGATTTTATTTTTGTCATTCACTAAAATTGAATCGTTTTTCAAAATTTTCCGTTTAGTTGGTGAAGAAACTAGTTTGATCATGGTTCGCAAGAAAGCAGATCGACTGAAAACCGATTGATTTTTGATTATCCGGAAACCATTCGCAGTGTGCAGCGTATTTATGTAAATAATCTACTAATAACACTACATCAAGCAATTGTAAAGTGAGTGTGCGTGTGTGTGCAGCGTGACAGAAGAAAGCAAGAGGGAGTGGAGTGAAGAAGAATATCCGTTTGAGGACAGCAGCAGAAGATAAGAGAAAACCCCGTCCTGCACGAGTTCGCGAGTGCAACCGAACCGCCCCCCGTTCGATGTTCGATCATTCCGGCTTGGATATCAAACACGGGCGGTCATGAAAAAATTTGCTTTAGAACGGATTGTGTTGAGCTTCAGCTGCGACAGTGTTGCCGCCGCGACAGAATTCGCTGCGTCTGTGAACTTTGTTTGCGTCACAGGTAAAGTTGCCGTGCGAGGAGGAGGAGGATGCTAGTGGAAACTTTGCTACAAAGAGAAATATGTTTTGATCTTTCAACAGGACGGCCCACCGTCCAAACTAGTTCCTGGGGCCCGAGTCAATACCTGGCCGCACCTAGTGCGTGCCCACATCGTGCCCCCATAACACATCATTGTTAGCAGGTAACGGATATTTGTTTGCATATTTGTATTTTGCTTGAGTACAATTTACGTAGATTGATGGTAGATTTTGATAGCTGCATGGTAGAAGTGATAGTTCTCTTTGCTTTCGTTACAGGAGGATTATCATAATAATAATGAATTCGGTTGAGGGGCCAAGTAAACGTCTACGGTGGGTTCAGTAGTGGGGGGAAAATCAATACCGACAGCAAAATGGGCAGTTTGTCAAAAACCTTTTCCGGTAATTACTCGTGGCATATTGAATTACAAGGCTTCTTGGCAGATGTTTTTTTTTTCGACACGGCTGGGTACTTTCCATTGAAGCATAATGAATGTTACTTTTTCAACAAGGGGGAGCTAATGGTGTAGGTGGGCAATTCGATTTTGATTGTTATTGTTGTCGATTCGAAACGAGGGTTGTGGGAAGTAAACTTTCAATACTTAATTAATAGGGCTTCAAAAGATTCTTTTGTTTCGTTGCTTGGTCCTCTCTGATGGAATTCTTTGCTGGTGCGTTTTTAAAAAGTTTCCATAATTACTAGGGCCTGGCGTAGTGATTTGCATTCTTCTCACGATTGACCTAAAATGGGTTTCAAGTGGCTAGAATAATAGAAACAAACGAACTAACTGCTAGTGGGCATGAATTGTGAATAATTAGGCATCTTTAAATCTGAATGCTGGTCAATTCGGTTTAAATGTTTTTTTTTTCCGTGTTGGGTATTTTGATCACTGCACTTAGATCTATTGTGATATATTCCCCGTTTTAATATTGCTTTATCAGCATGTCGTATCACCATTTTATGAAGCGACCGACATAGACTGACCGAAAGCATTTTGCCAGTCAGGTATTACATTTCGAATGAATTGCACTACTTGGCTGGGAACTGAACTCCAAATATCAAAGGGTTCTGTCAGCTCCTTATCCAGAAAAATACGCCTCTTATGGAAGATTGCTGTACAAGAGCATAGCAGGTGTTCAGAGTCTTCTTTTTCTATGCCACATAATCGACACATGTCATCTTGAAGTTTTCCTATTAGCTTCAAGTGATATTTACATGGACAGTGCCCTGTTATTAAACCAGTGTACATACTGAGATCTTTCTTTGATAGTTCAAGAATTTTGCTAGTCATTGAAATTCTCAAAGTTCTGTGCAAAGTTATCCTGAATCGGATACAGGAGAAGATCGACGCGACTCTCCGACGGCAGCAGGCAGGATTCCGTGCCGGAAGATCTTGTGTGTACCATATTGTCACGCTCCGCATCATCCTGGAGCAGGTCAATGAATTCCAAGAGTCCCTTTATTTGGTATTCATTGACTACGAAAAAACTTTCGACCGTCTCAATCACGAGAATCTGTGGGGCAAGGGAGTCCCGGATAAAATCGTCAACCTCATCGAAGCGCAGTATGAGGCTTTCACGTGCAGAGTTCTGCATAACGGAGCCTTGTCCGACCCTATCCGGGTAGTCGCTGGTGTGAGACAAGGATGTATACTATCACCGCTACTGTTTATCATCGTAATCGACGAGATCATGGTAGGTGCAATTGACCGTGTACCGAACCGTGGGCTGCTTTGGCAGCCTATCACCATGGAGCATCTCAACGACTTCGATTTGGTTGATGATGTTGCTCTACTAGCACAACGGCGCTCTGATATGCAGAGTAAGCTCAATGACCTAGCCGAACGCTCCTCTGCGGCGGGTCTCACCATCAACGTCAACAAGACCAAATCGTTGGATATCAACACGGGTAACCCTTCCAACTTTACGGTAGCGGGGCAAGCAGTGGAGAAGGTCGACAGTTTCCAATATCTTGGCAGCCAAATAGCGTCGGACGGCGGGACCAAGAGCGACATAGGTGCACGAATCAAGAAGGTTAGGGCTGTCTTTGCGAGTTTACGAAACGTATGGAGATCCAACCAGATAAGTCAACGCACCAAAATCCGAATTTTCAACTCGAACGTGAAATCTGCGTTGTTATACGCCAGCGAGACGTGGTGTGTATCAGCGGAGAACACTCAAAAGCTGCAGGTCTTCATCAACCGATGCCTGCGGTATATAATTCGTGCCTGGTGGCCTCACAACTGGATCTCGAATGCCGAGCTCCATCGTCGATGTCATCAGAAGCCAATAGCAACAGAAATTCGAGAGCGAAAGTGGAGGTGGGTCGGCCACACACTTCGACGGGGCGGAAACGAAATCTGCAAGCAAGCGCTGGATTGGAATCCAGCAAGACATCGCAGCAGAGGCAGACCCAGGGGCTCATGGCGGCGGAGCCTCAATAAGGAAATTAAGCAAGTCGATAGAAATCTGACCTGGGCCCAGGTTAAGGCAAAAGTGAGCAGCCGCCCAAGATGGAAGTCTTTCACGTTGGCCCTTTGCACCGCTGGTGGTGCACAGGACCCTTAAGTATTGAAATGCTCGGATTAATAAACCGTTTCGACTGCCTAGCAATGAGAGTGTTGTTTCAATTGGTCTCCACTTTCATTTTTTTCCCATTTCTTGAACTCCATTCTAAGAGAGCAAGCAGAAACTCCACAGAATGGTTCTGGTCTTATAAATTGTTGAGATGATCCAAGCCTAGCTAGTGTGTTGGCTTTCTCATTCCCTTGAATTCCACAGTGACCAGGAACCCAAAATAGGTTCACTTGGTTTTGGCAGGGAAATTTTTGGAGTGACATTGCACATTCCCATACAAGTTAAGAATTACATTTTGCTGATTTCAAAGCATTTAGTGCTGCTCGGCTATCAGACATAATGCAGATATTCGAATGCCTATAATTTCTACGCAAGTAAATGTTAGAACATCCAAGAATTGATTTGACTTCTGCTTGTAACACGGTAGGCCAGTAGCTCATAGATATTGAGATATTTATACCTGGACCTGTTACCCCTGCTCGTACACCATTATCCAATCTAGAGCCGTCTGTATAAAAGACAATTGATCCTGGACGAATGTTTGGTCCCCTATTGTCCCACAAATCGCGATCCGCATCTGCTACATTGTAAAGACGATCGAAGTGATATTTTTTCTTCATTCAATCTTCATTTTGTAACATAAAAGAATAAATATTGAACACTTTTAGGATGCTCATATGTCCTCTAAGATCACCTTCAAGGAAGTGCTGTGAGCGTCGGATCCTTAATGCACTCCTTTCGGCTTCTAATTGAATAAATTGATGCAACGAAAGCAGATAAAGTAGAGCATCTAGTGCCATACTTGGTGTGCTGCTCATTGCACCAGTTATTGATAGAGTAGCTAGCCTTTGCAGCCTCCTCAGCCTCTGCTGAGCTGATTTTTCATTGGTTTCAGGCCACCAAACCAATGATGCATAGGTTATTCTGGGTCTTACAATTGTCAAATAAATCCAGTGGATCATTTTACGTTTTAGTCCCCATTTCCAACCAATTTTTTTTTTACTTATCCAAAGAGCATTTGTTGCCTTACTAATGACTTGCTCTAGATGTGAATTCCAATTTAGTATGCTGTCAAGAGTAACTCCCAGATACTTGACTGTGTTTGAAAGTTCTAAAATTATTCCTTTCAGTTTAATAGTATTTATGGACTTTTTTTTTTCTTCGTGTGAATGGTACAATAGTTGTTTTAGATGGATTAATATTCAATCCTTCGCTAGTGCACCACGATGAAACATAATTTAAAGCAATTTGCATTCTACTTGAAATGACATAGTCATATTTTCCATGCACTAATATGACTATATCATCTGCGAAGCCAATAATCTCGAAGCCCTGTGCTTCTAAGTTTTTAACTATTAAAGACCACAGTAGAGATGAAAGAACACCTCCTTGAGGACACCCTTTTACAGCTCTTACTGTTATGGATGAGCTTCCAAGGTTTGCTGAGATTTCTCTTTTGCTAAGCATTTCGTTAATCCAATTAACTATGCTTTTATCGAACTCATGTTTTATCATAGCTTTTTTCATTGAGTGATAAGATGCATTATCAAATGCTCCTTCAATATCATTGAACGCTGCTAGGGAAATTTCTTTTGATTCAAAAGATTTTTCTAGTTTTGTAACCAGCGTATGAAGCGCTGATACGGTTGATTTACCTGTTTGATATGCAAACTGATATTTATTAAAAGGAATTGTAACCAAGTACTTTGACTTTATATACTCATCTATTATTTTCTCCATTATCTTCAGCATAATGGAAGATAGGCTAATCGGTCTGAAGGATTTAGGAGACGTTTTATCCTTTTTGCTAGCCTACGGAATAAATATAACCTTAACTTGACGCCAGTTTATTGGAATATAGCTTAATGTTAAACTTGCTCTAAACATGTCTGTAAGAATAGGTATCAATGTTTTTTTCCCTTTCTGGAGTAGTACTGGAAAAATTCCGTCCCTACCTGGTGGTTTGAAAGGTTCAAAATAATCAATCGCCCATTCAACTCGTTTCTCTGTAAAAATTACTTTGCCCAGATTTTGAGCATCTTTCCTGGCTCTCTCTGATCCAGTCGACTCGTTAATTGTTTCCTGAACATACGTCCTGGTTTTTCAGAGACAGTTTTTGCTGCACATATATTCTGATCTTCATTTATGTTAGAAGTTGAACATGGAAAGTGTGTTTCCATCATTATCTCTAACGTTTCCTCCACTGATCCAGTAATCGTGCCGACCTCTTTTTTAAGAGTTCCTAGGTCATTTGAATGATCTGTTGAAAGAACTTTCTGCAATCTAGCAGCAATTGGAGTATTTTCAATGTTTTCACATGTATGCCTCCAATCATTTCTTTTTGATCTTCTAATTTCCCTATTATAAGCTGTAAGGGCTTCTGTATATTGATTCCATTGCTTTGTTATTTTTGCCCGGTTAAATAGTTTCCGGACTTTCTTTCGAATTTTCTGTAAGGTTTTATTCCACCAAGGTACATCTCTATTGGTAGAACGTTCCTCTGCAGGACAGCTATCGTAATAAACCTGTTGTATTAAGCCAGATAGCTGTTGAGAATTGTTTAAATGTTTAATTAGAACAGAATTTT